GTGATACCTTGCCACTCTTTAACGTTTTCCAGACATAACCTTTTAGTTGTTCCTTTGATACATTTTCTCCGCATTCCTCGACAACTGATTTGATCCACAGCAAAACTTCCTGCAACAAAACCATCAAAGATTCCATAATACACATCATAAGTTTCACCACTGCATAAGAGTCATTTCTTGGAGCTCTGCTTTATATATATATGTAGGTTTGGTAGTATAAGATTCATTTAGCAAATAGATAAGATTGGTACCTGATTAGCCAAACCATGGAGTGGCCCAGCTAAACCGTTTAATGCAGCTGCAAATGCAAGATATGGATCTGCAAGTGCACTCCCAACCTAAATAAATAAATATTATCAGCAAAAAAGAACCATAAGAAATGTCTAGAGATTCAAATCACTGGGAGTAATAACATACATGAATCCGAAAAATCTAAAAGCAGAACATGATCATCAAGAACAAATTATAAATACTTGATGGAAAGATCATGTAGCAATACATACCAAGTGACCAGCGTGAGCACTAACATTTCCACCTTCATGATCACTAAAAACAAAAACCAGTAATAAAGAAAACTTGTGATTATGCTACAGAAATTTTGTAAAAGTTGGTAAAGAAGACAGAGAAAATCATAATATAAAAGAAGAAAACTTTGGCTTAAAGATTATGTTTAATGAGACATATCGAAAAGAAGAGAACCAACACAAACCTGTGAATGGTGACATAAAGCCTCATGAGCTCTTTCATTTGAGGACTATCAAATCCCAACATATGTGAAAAATTTGCACCATAATCCAAAGTATTATCCAATGGAATTATGCTACCATCCTTGAACATCCTACAATGTTAAAGTAGAATGTAAATTCAAGAACAGTAATAAGGAAGAAAAATATCCAAACATTAATAAGTCCAGAAGCTAAGAACATTGTAAAAGGGCGTAAAAATCTAACCTTCGATACACGTATGAAGCTACGACAGGAACACGAGCGATCAAGTTGAGGGCATCCTCAAAGGTTGACTCCCAAAACCTGCAATAAAAAATTCAGTTTTAATGAAGTGAAGCTACTATATAAGGCAACCAAGAAACAAACTAAGAAATATTGATCAAGTTTATACTTTGACTTATGAACAACACCCTCTTCATATGTCTTTTGGAACTCACTTTGAACCTGTATAACAATTCAACAAGATAAGAATCGCTCCTGAAAAGAGCCAAACCAGTAAGGAACAGAGCCATATCCACCTGGAGAGCCATAACTCCACTAGCAAATTGAGTCATTGGATGAGCTGTCAAAGGCAATGCATCGATAGCTTTGTAAACGTAATCTGCAAATGAAAATTCATCACAAGCTAGAGTCATTATGTTTGCAACAATCGTAACTTTTCAGTTTCGATGAGTGATTAAGCCGAGGTAGACCTGGTACAACCGCACGAGCAGCCAACTCTTTTGACAATGAATCAACTTGCTCTTTGTTTGGCACCTATATCACAAACAGGGGAAACTATACCTTAAGATCATGTATTAACGGAAAATTAAAACATATGATATATCGCGCGTAACCATTTTCGCGTAAAAATGTCACACCTTTCCAGTTAACAGAAGCCATAGAAGACCCTCAGGCAAAGGCTCTTCTCCAGATTGAGCTGCAGGTAATACTTTTTGGCATTCGGGAATCGACATGCCTCTAAACCGTATTCCCTGAAATAGAGATCAGGTCATTGCAATAACACCGAAACAAGAGCATTTCTTATATTCTATATCTATCAACAAAGGCATATATATACGTACTTCGTCTGCATCAAGCAATGAGGTTTCCCAGAGTAATCCAGTTATTCCTCTCATTCCACCAAGCACCTTCACAAATATCGCATACAAATGAAAAATCGATATACGAGTGCTTTTTATGAGAGAAAGCTCTTGTAATCAAACAGAGAAAGAAAGAAACAAAATATTGTTAGAATCCATACCATATCAACAGTGATGTTTCCCACAGGGATATTTCCATGTTCTGATCTCAGTTTCTTGAGACGTTCCTGTAATTAATTAAAAGTTGTGTATGAGAAAGACAAGAACAACAACAAGAGCCTAAAACAGAGAGAAGAGCCAAAATCTAATCTCTAGAACCAAAAAAGATACAACAAACCTGTTGTTGTGGAATAATCTCTTGTAGCTGCGACTTCAAATCCTTCATTGCCATTTTTTTTCAAACAACATCAACAAAAATTAATCTCGAAAACCAATCATAAGAAGGAAAAGAACAGTCTAAAAATAACCAAACTTTTCATTTTGTGTCAACAATTTACATTCTAAATTTACCAACTTTTTTCAATCTCAAACTTAACATTAACACGAGAAACATGAAAACTATTTTATTTTACCAATTCAGAAGAGCTCTGCGTTTGGAGCCATCTCACGGAATTGCTAAGTGAGGATTGTTGCACCTGCTTATAATTTTAGATCTAACCAGTCATCAATCTATTCGAATCAACCAAAACGTTAGTAAAAAACACAAAATAAGGGTAAAATCTAAATCTACTCACGACTCTAGACCGAAGCCTTGAAATGGACGATACGCCGCGAAAAAACACCATTCTTCAAATCTCTCAGATTCTACAAAAACGCAAA